GAGAGGATGACATAAACAAGAGCTTGAACCACAACAAATAAGCCCACCTTCAACAACATGTCTCCTAAAAAGCTTTCAATCGCCATGATCATATCGATGCTAAGACTGCTAAGTATATATATGAGATTGCAGAGAGAGAATTCTGAGAGAGAAAGTTGGAGGGATGAATGGAAATGGTGGAATATAAGATAAGAAGAGTCCATGCAGAGATGTATTTATAATGTGGGATTTTTGACCAAGCATGCCGATCCCTTTGACTTGTCAATTCCAAATAGAAAAAAGAATGCACATATTGGTTTGATACGTAGAAATTATGTGGATGTTACTAGAAGAGTGAGTTTGGGTCATTCTTGACTTTTTACACTTTCTGGAAAGTGCCACAAATTTATCTTTTGACATCTGAAAGGTGCAAATTAAGGAATGTTCATGTGCTTGAAACTCATAATTTTGCAATTTGCAGCAGCCTACCCATTCGAATCATGGTCCATGTAAAGACTAGATAATTTTTTTGGCTGCAAGAAGTCAAATTCTTGGAAGTTTCTAACTTTTTAAATTTGTAATAATTACACTTAACCTCCTAAATTGCCTTAAATAACATAATTTTCTCTTTAGTTTCAAATATAACACTAACCAACTTTATGGTTCAAGTCACTCCCGTAAGTTGATGCCATGTTTAAATTTTAGTTAAAATCCGAGATTGCCCTTAGAAAGTTTGAAAATGTTATTTTGTATATATGTTGAACTAATAAAAGTACAATGGGTATCATAGTCATTTTACGCACTCAGGTCAAAATGAACAACATTGACACAGACTTCAGTGTTAATTTGAAACCATATGAGAGTTCTATATTATTTAGCCAATTTATATAGCAAATGTAATTGTGATTATTGTGGCAACCTTATGGGTGGGTATGCATGGGCGCGGGTACGAGGCGCTAGCAGGTTATAGGTGCACGATCCCACAATGCCTGGTGTGAAAAAGGAGAAGTACTTATATGTGCTAGTACCGTTTCAAAATGGTATTGAAGTCTTTTGGTGTAAAATCCAAGAACAAAACCATGCAAGTTAGGATCCAATGCATATAATATTATACTATATGGTAAAGTGGTATCAGAGCCAGATCCAGCCAAAAGTACACTGTCGACAGAGATGCCGAGCTTCTTAGGGGGGTGAATTGTAACAACCTTATGAGCGGGCAAGACACTGACGGAATCAGCAGGCTATGGATGCATGATCCCACATTGTCTGAGTTTGGAATTACAAGCTCATTTTTTTCAACTCAAATTAGACCTAGATAATAGTAAAAAGAATTGTCGCAATTCATACAAAACTCGGGTTGCCTATCCAAGTTGCACATACAAACTATTTCTCTCCATTATATTATAATACTTTGAAATTGTTCAAATTTTCAACTCAAATCCCCATCTTCTTAACACTGTTTCACAAATCCAACCAGACCAAAGGAAGGAGTGTATATATATATATAATGAATAAATATTTTTAATTTAATTTTTTAATTATGTATTTAATGAAAAATGATAACTATATTAGATTTTAATTAGGAATTATTTTTTTTCTTTTTTATAATTATAGAAATAACCGAGGTTTTCATTTGGTATGATATATTGTAATCTCACAACTGTGAGAATAATATATATATATATATATATTAGAACTTTCAAATTTATGAGGGCATTTTCAAAATAGTAAAAGGGTAAAACAGACATTACAACATTATTTTATATTAGATTTTCACAAAAAGTAATTTGAAGGATGTTTCTACTCAATTTTTTTAAAATAAAAAGATTTATAGCATATTTTTTAAAAAATAAGGAATGAAAGTATTATACGGTATATACTTTAGGAGTGTTTGGACACTTTACTCTAGGAAAAAAATACTTTTTTTTATTGTAGTTATAATAACTCTCCGTTTTGAAAAATGCATCTCAAAATACACTTAATTGGGATCATAAGGAAGAACGGACGACTATTAGGCAGAAATAAACCAATCCATTATTGACCATTAGATAGAACAAACCAATCCAATTTTTGCTACATGCGAAGGAAGGACAAAGGACTACTACTCTTCATAGCTTCAACAAATCCAACCAATTCCAATTTTGCAAATTAAAATATAATAACTATGTTCAGCTTGCTGGTCCACATATTTTATAAAAAAATTATTACAATAATCCCATTTCTTTTCCACCGAATAAAAGGTGAGCTCAAAACTTACACAAACATCAATATTGAGAGTATAACTATAGAAGTACCTCTAGCTAATACAACTATGCATAACAGCACCCAGTATAAGTCTTTCAAAACAACCACAATCGTTATAGCAAAGTATATTGAATCTATATATACACGTATCATATATATGATCTACAACCAAAAATACAAAAGGTCATCTGAAATTCAAATCCACACTCATATAAGAATCATCACTCAACTACTGCTTAAAATATAAATACTAATAATAATAAATAAATAAATGAATAACCCCAATAGAAAAAAGACTTAAGATGTGTGCTCATGGGCAGTAGAATCTTGTCTTGTTGGCGACTTCATGTTTTTGTAAGTAGGCGACGGCTCGCCACCGGCCGGCATGTCAGCAAGAGCGGCGATCATCCGGCGGACGCTAACAGAGCGAGCTGGTTTGAAGCTGAGAGATCTCCGGTTCTTGGAGAAGACATCGGATGACTTTGAGAGGATGACATAAACAAGAGCTTGAACCACAACAAATAAGCCCACCTTCAACAACATGTCCCCTAAAAAGCTTTCAATCGCCATGATCATATCGATGCTAAGACTGGTATGTATATATATATATATATATATGAGATTGTAGAGAGAGAGTTGGAGGGATGAATGGAAATGGTGGAATATAGGATAAGAAGAGTCCATGCAGAGATGTATTTATAATGTGGGATTTTTGACTAAGCAAGCCGATTCCTTTGACTTGTCAACTCCAAAGAGAAAAAAGAGTGCACATTTTGGTTTGATACCTAGAATCTAGGTGCTATTACTGGAATAGTGAGTTTGTGTCATTCTTGACTTTTTACACTTCCTGGAAAGTGCCACAAAATTTTATTTTGACATCTGAAAGGTGCAAAGGAAAGTTCATGTGATAGAAACGCAAAATTTTGCAATTTGCAGCAGCCTACCCAGTCAAATCATGGTCCATGTAAAGACTAGATAATTTTTGGCTGCAAGAAGTCAAATTGTTCGAAGTTTCTAACTTTTTAAATTTGGAATAATTACACTTCTTTTTATAGATTGTCTAAATAAGATGAGCTTTCCTCTAATTTCAAATACTAACTCGTGCAGGTTACTCTTGCCATGTCATATTTAAAATTTACTTAAAACTCGATAATGTCCTTAGAAAGCTTGAAAATGTTATTTTGTCTATATGTTGAACTAATAAAAATACAATGGGTATCATAGTCATTTTAAAACAACATTGACACGGGACTTCAATGTTAATTTTGAAACCATAAGAGAGTTCTCTGTTATTTAGGCAATTTATAGCAAAGGTAAGTGTAATTATTGTGGTGACTTTATGGGTGGGGTATGCATGGGCGTGGGTGCGAAACACTGGCAGGCAGGGACGAAGCCATGATGCAAGGTGTGGGGGGCAAAAATGAATTTCGGAGGGCAATAGTGCATTTTTTTTAGTAATTTTAGAGGGTGAAAATGTAATATTTCATAGGTATATTACTGAAAATGAACAAATTATAAGGGTAGATTACTATAAAAAAAAAAATCAATGGGGGTAGATCTGTCATTGCTGACAGGTTACAGGTGCACGATCCCGCAATGCCTGGTGTGAAAAAAGGGAAGTACTTATATGTGCTAGTGCTATCTCAAAATGGTATTGAAGCCTTTTGAGAGTAAAATCCAAGAACAAAACTATGTAGGTTAGGATCCAATGCATACAATATTATACTATGTGATAGAGTGGTATCAAAGCTTGATCTAGCCGGAAGAAATTTGTCAGCAGGGATGCCGGGCTTCTTAGGAGGGTGGATTATGACAACCTTATGAGCAGCCGAGACACTGATCGACAGGGTCAGCAGGCTATGGATACATGATTCCACATTGTCTGAGTGTGGAAGTTTAAGATCATTTTTTTCAACTCAAATTAGACCTAGTTAATTTGATAGATTCAAGCTGTCAACCTCAAGTTACTGATTTTTTTAAAAAAAAAACTTACTAATATTTGATCAAGAATAATATCATAAATTAGGTTTGGGTTAGACTTTAATGACCGACTCCTCTTTTAAAATAGAACTGAAAAGAATTGAGATCTTAAAAGTTTAAATAAACTCAACCTAAATAATTGTAAAAAGGATTGTCGCAATTCATACAAAACTCGAGTTGCCTATCCAAGTTGCACATACAACTATTTCTCTTCAGCATATTATAATACTTTGAAATTGTTCAATTTTTTAACTCAAATCCCCATCTTCTTTACACTGTTTCACAAATCCAAAGACTCAAATCATATAGATATGTAAATACATTATTTCTAATCCTAGAAGTTCAATCAGAAAAATTGAGTGATATCATCTAGGCTTATTTTGGCTAAGTTTACGAGTGGTTAACTATAACACTACACGGATTGATACGCAGAACACAGTTAAGATTACTGAACCATCCCAAAAACAGCATATAAATAACTCATGGTTAGATATATTTTCTAATACGTAGTACTAGTAATTTTTTATTTAATATTTCCTGAAATATGAACCAGTCAAAGTGATAATTGATTGCATGTCAATTAGGAGCTGTTTTAAGATGTGGTGAGCAAAGTGTGAACACGACCAAAGGAAGGAGTGTATGTAATGAGTCTCATCTTCTGGACCCTTAAAATAATGTGGTGGTGGTTACTTGCACGACATGGTCGGCCATTCATTTAATCTAATCTCTCTCAATTTCGGACGTGGCTACACATGTAACAATCACGTGAAAGAAAACACAAACTTAGAAATCCCGCGTGTTAAAAATGTAACACTCAACTCCTTCAAATAAAATAAGTCCTTCAATATACATAGCCCCACACTTTTTACATTTGCATTTTTTCTTATTTTTTTCATCAATTGGAAGTATATCAAAGTACACCCTAACTGATGATGTGAGTCTTCGTTTGCGCTTCCCAGCTTGCTTCTTTTTTGGTTGTGGCAAAACGCACATTTTGATTCTGCTGATCCACCTCAATTTCCATTAATTCCAATTCATCATCACCATCACTTCCAAGTTTGATCTAAGCATTTTGAGAATCCATCTAAGTATTGCAAAAGAAAAATAAAAAAAAATCAGACACAATAAGTTAACAACACCTAATCAAAGACAGATAATAAAGGATTTATATAATACAAATAGAGGGCAAGGGTGGGCTTTACCAGACATAGGCTTTAAAGAGCTACCATCCCTAATTCAGACAAACACACACAAAATTGCTTTCTCACTTGTTTTTTTTTTTTTTTTTCCTTCTAAGTTTCAGAAATCTTATTTTATGCAACAAAAAAAGAAGAAGAAGAAAAAAAAAAAAAAAAAAACGTAAAGCTGAAAGAGGGAATTAGGATTAGGGTATCTATAATTCTATTACATGAATCTGAAAGAAAAAAAAAAAAAAGAAGGTATGAACAAATGATGATGGAGGGACAAATATGAAGAAGAGGGGGTGAAAATTACTTACTCCGGCGTGGCTTCTATTTCCAGCGAGGAGGTCGTTTGAAGGTTGTCTTCTTCTTTCGGCCTAGGCTTTGAGATAAAGAGATGGAGATAGATCTTTCTTCAACCATTTATGATTTATAGAGAGATGGAGGGGAGACGGAAGGGTTAAGGTATGGGTATGCGTGACTGTGTGTGACTGAAGAGGCTAAGCGTGAATGGGTAATTGAGAACTGCAACTTCCGAATAACATAAAATTGGGAACTGCAAAGTAATTGAGTCGACAAAGGAGCCAGACTTTTGTTAGTGTTTAAATAAAATGTCCTAAGTATCCTTATAAATTGGGCCTAAATGGATTAACGGGTTATGCGGGTCATATTATACAATTATAACACGGTTAGTTAAACGGGTATAAATGGGTTACGCAGGTTAAATCTTACAATCCGAATACGACACAATTAATTAAATGGGTTAGTCGTATCAACTCGTTTACGACCCAAACCCGATTAGAGTAAACCCAAACACATTTATCTCGTATCGTGTTCGAGTCGTGTTAACCGGTCGTGTCAAATTTTGCCACCCCTACGATTGACCTTAGATTAGCTCGGGTCGCAAACGAGTCGGCACGATTAACCAGTTTAGTTAATCGTGTTGTGTTTTGGTTAACGGGTTCAACCCGTGTAACTCGTTTATATGCGTTTAACTACATGTGTCATAAATACATTTATATTTAGGTTCTAAAATTACTATATAAACTTGTATGTTATAATTTAATCTTTTTTAAACTAGGACTATATAGTAATTTGGTTGATTAAAACTTATATTTTTATAGTATTTATTATTTTATTGACTATTATTAATAATTTAAATAATATATATATATATATATATATATATATATATATATATATTGTAAATAGGTCATTAAACGGGCTTTATGTGTAACCCGTTTAATAAATAGGTCGGGTTATTGTTGAGATTTCCTAACACGAATATTAAGGCCCTATTTGGTATACGTTGTGTTTTTGGCGTTTTGTTTTAGCCTAAAACAAAACAAGTGTCTTGTTATGAAAGTGGTCTGAGTTGAAAACGGAAACATGTTTGGCGATGAAAATTTGCAGTGGGAAATTCGGAAACAGAAACATGTATAACATGATTGGCAGTGTGTTTCGTTTTAAGAAATTTGAAACAAAACATGTTTGGCAGAGTTCGACTGTTATCAAAAATACTGAAACAAAAACACAAAACCTGTTTTACAGGAGTGTTTTTGTTTTGTTTTTAAAATATTAAAATATATTAATACATTATTATTTATATATATTAGTACATTATTCGATATGGTTTGAAATTTTATTTACACATTATTATTTTTTTTACTAATAACACTTATAATAAAAAATCACAAAGTGCATTAATAAATTCTTCAAATCAATTTATGTGAGATTGGCAAGCTCCAAATGCCTCCATATGCCATTAACCTACATTATCACATTCTCTAAACTGTTGAAATCATTAATTGCATTTCCAAGCTCTAAAAAAAATAACAGTCTCAAATTGCACTCATTCTTTCTACACATTGCTGGGTTACTTTCATTGCTCTGAAATTGGAATATGACTAGAAAAACATTATAAGAATTGGAAGTTGCACATGCATTGAATAAAATATTGATTTTATAACGCCAATTGACATAAACAATAGCAACTGTTTTGCATAATCTTAGTCAATATACAACTGTGTTGTGTATTGATAATAGAAGTCCAAAAAAATTATACAAACTGATATACAAGGCCATCAATCAAGGGTATCCCCTTGCTATACAAGAAGAACTGCAAACCAGGAAGCAAAAGCTAAACAATATAAAAGCAATAGAAAAAAAAAAAATAAATAAAAATTTAAAGCAATACAACCAAACCAACTACTCATGACATCCTGCAAGAAAAACCTCAAGAATCCAAGCACCTCCCATTACACAACAGCAAGCAAATTCCTTCCCATCAAGGCATCACAAGGTCTTAACCTTAATTTTCCTCATAAGGTCCATGGGAAGAGTATATAAAAATAACAACAGCAAGCAAATCCCAGCAAACTCATGCAAGCAAATTCATCCCATCATTCCATCCCATCAAGAAGAAAATCCCAGCAATGTTCCTCACAAGGTCCATGGGAAGAGTATATAGAAATCTTGTTCTTCATAGACTTCGCTCTACAAAAGGAAGTAAAAGCTCTTACCAAGTACACGAAAAGTTTGGAATATTATTGGTAAAAGAAAAATGGAAGTGTTTGAAAATTGTTTGGGTAGAGTATTGGAATCTTTCTGCTACCACACGATTCCTTTCATTGTGAGCTAAAGTAAGCAAGAAAATGCCAACTTGTTCAAACACACTTACACCTTTAGAATCTTTCAAACCTAATAACCTAAGCTCACCACACAACTTAACAAAAACAGGGGTGGACATCCTAAAGTTTTCATAACATCTACTTTCATGCCAATTCAAGATATCCAATATATATTCTTCCCCTTTTAAACTTGAATCCCTACCGCTGCTTTGAAAATGTTTCCTATAGTATTCCAACATATACGCCATTATAATGATAGATTTATTATCGGCATCATCATTATCATACAATTCTATAATTGTCCTAATATCCATTTGTATAATAAAATATATAAGAAAGGGTGATACGAAGAGCAAATAAGAAATAATAAAAAAATATAATAAAATATTAAGAAAAGCAGATAAGAAAGAAAAGCAACACACCAAACAAAGTATAGTTAATATTACAGTCATCCCAAGGAAAATAGAAAATAGAGTACTTAATAGTACAGTCATCCAAAGTGATAAGAAAAGCAAATAAGAAATAAATGCAACACACCAAACAAAGTATAGTTAATAATACAGTCATTTAAAGTCATAAGAAAACCAGATAACACATTAAAAAGTAGCAGGAAATCAAAGATTCATGATCCAACCAACCTTCCTCTCATCAGGAAGGTTATTCAGAAATAAATTCCTCCATATTTCATCACTATGTAGCATGTTGATAACCTTGCCATATTGCACAATATCAATACCCTCCAATTGATTCAAAATCTTACAGCATAAGTCATATTCATCTTTTGCCTTATCTTTTTTTGTTGAAGAAGTTACTTCAACCTCACATTTGTCACGAGATGCTAGCATATTAGATGATGAAGCTTCTTTATGGCCCTTTCAATTTGCTCAGCTCTCACGTTAGTATTGTCAGTCATACTTGCCATAACATTGCTCATTGTGGTGGCAAAACTATCTTTCTTTGGTTTCTTACCATGAGGTAGAGGCGAGGGACTAATCTCATAACCGTCCACCTCTGCAAAATCATCATTTTCAAGGCCACTATATATGGCTGTATGGTGTGGGGGGATTTGGTTGATAGTGGGTGGTCTAGTGGAAGGATTCACATGCGCACCTGTAACATACGTGTCTCCATAGATGGGGGTCATCTTGTCAAAATGTTTACATCCCTCCTTTTGAAACTTTTTTGCATCCCTATTCACCTACAAATTATTATCCTATTATTAATATAAAGTAAAACTTACATTTGTATATAACAGATAAATTAAGTTTCACTACTAACCTTTATCAACATATCCCATCTTTTAAGTTCAAGTATAACCATGGTGTCTCAGCATTGTATCCAAAACTTGTTTCTAATAACAGTTTCGCAAAGTCTTTGTAGTCTATCCTCAACTAATTGAACTTATTCCTAAGTTGGTTCTTTGTAAAGTTCTTCCGTATTTGAAGCCTCATGCCTTCCACTAAATTCTTCCAACCAATAGTGTTAAAAGTTCCAGAAGTACGATTACTAAGCCTCACTTCTTCCTCCATAAGGATAATGAAATTTTCAATATGAGAGTCATCCCATATTACTTTTCCATTTGCGGTAATGTCTGTAAGGTCGTCTACATTTACTGGCACCATATTCTCATCATTCCCATCCATCTAATTGATCATTTTAATTTGAAGTTAGATTATAGTATAACTTTTACTATGAATATACTCTTCACTAATGTATGACACTATGTGTGTGGGTACATTTTTAACAATATCAAATATATGACTACTCATGTGTGTGTGTAAAAAAAAAATTATTCTCTTCCCATTAGTAATGTGTAAAGTATCAAGGCAGCATAGTTAAACAAATGACTTAACATATTTGTAGGAGGAACTTTATAGAGAAGCTAAAACTATACAAAAGTAACATACATACAGAAACTAAAACTATACAAAATTAACATGTATATAGAAGTTAAAAGTAATGAAAGTAACATGTATACAGAAGTTAAAAGTATACAAATTAACATGTATACATAAGCTAAAAGTAATCATTTTCATTTATTTCAATTGACATCTAGATCTGGAAAGGAATGAGTCCCTTTCTCAATTGAACTTCCTTGCCATAGTGATAGTAGACTGTGATATTGGAAGTTAAATAAGATACTCATGTGTGTAGGCAAATTTTCAGAATACAAGTTAAATAAGATTTGCAGTGGCATTTTTTTTTTTGGTCAATTAGAAGATTTATACATTAATAGTTGACAAATATCTTTTTTTTCACTGCAAGCACAACAGTAATGAGATTTTCCAATACGATTGTGAGGATCTATATGCCCTCAAGACCAGATGGAGATTCATTTAGCTGGGTATCCTTTTTAGTTAATTTGTTTCAGTTCATATCCTCTGAATGACAGTCAACATTTATTGAGCTTCAAAAAAAAAAAAAAAAAAAAAAAAAAAAAAAAAAAAAAAAAAAAAAACTTATAGAGAGATGATATGTCAGCATGTGTGGTAATTTTTTTTTTTTTTTTGGCTTCCAGTGAGTAAGCAATGCACACACAGTAACAAACAACGATGCCCAAATCAATACCAAACAAGAATGAAAAATAAATGGATTGTGGTATTTGAGCTTTTCGTTACATAAAAATCAGAAATAACATAGATCGAGTTGATTTTTTTTATTTTATTTATAATTTAATGGATTTTATTATGATCAATACTAAAATATTGTAGAATACGATTGTGAAGAAAAAAGGTTTGTATTTATTAAACAAAAAGGCTTTCAGTTTAAAGGTATTTTCATAGTATACTAAAGGTAAAATTATACAATAATAATAATAATAATAATAATAATAATAAATGAAATTAAGGTTTCAACAAATACACTTTCAGTTTAAAGAATGCCCAAATCATTACCAAAATCTGCTTCCAGTACGTAACCGCAAAACAAAAAGAAACAGCAAAGGAAACTCCAAATGTCGATTCCGAAACACAAAAGTCGAAAAAAGCAGAGGGTAACAACGATTTGGGGTTTCAAAAACTTCGAACTTGCAATCAAACTCCAAATTAGAACTCCGTGTGTGGATTTGCAACCGCAAAACAAAAAAAAAAAATAAAATAAAATAATAATAATAATAACTCAAACAAACCGAGAATTTGCAGATATTAAAACAAAATCATCAAACCTGTCGAGATCGTCGAAGATAACAACAAAGGAATGCAGATCGTTAAAGGTTTTGGCCAAAAACAGCAATGGAACCTTGGATTCAGTGTTCTACCAAAGCAGTCGCCAAGAATCGCCAAAGAGGAGAGAGCAAATGCGAAACCTAGAAAATGCAACATTTTCCTTTTATATGTCCTTCAGTTGTTGCCTCCGCTACAGTAAAATGATGGGCCTTGTTTGCTCCGCTACAGTAGCTGTTATTGGCCAAACAATGCAAAAACAAGCAAAAACACCTAAATGATGTTTTATATTTTGGGCCACTTTTGCAAAATATTTTTCAACTGTTTAAAATATAACACGCCATCCAAACATGTTTTGGGTTGGAATAATATAAAGACCAAAAACAAAACACAAACCAAACAGGGCTTAAATAAAATCGTGTTCGGGTTGAGGTGTTTAGTTTAATACCCTTAGATCAATACAACACGATTATAACTCGCGAACATGAATTACCACCCCTACCTAAAATGATGGCTTATCACGGGCTTGAATTGATTTACCATAGGTGCATATACTCTTTAAAGGTGTTTAATGCTTCTCGTTTGCTTTTAAGATTGTGATGCCTCTCTCTACTTGAGAGGGTTAGAAAAGATAAAAAATAGAAAGTAGAAGAAAAAGAAAGTAAAGTGAAGTAAAAAAAAAAAAAATTAATAATCACTTTTAAATAATAAAATTATGTCGGTCCTGACTTGGTTTAAGGTATTAAATTAATAATTTTGTTTAATTTATGAGATAATATATTTCACAAATTTCTTTATTGGTTTCTATAGGTCTTACTTATTACATAAAATAATAATTTGGTAAGAAGTCTATAGGACTGATTATGAAATTTTCTTGAAATATGAATTTAGCATTGCTCGTCTTTTCTTGAAATTTAAATTTAGTTGGATCTCATCTCTAATTTTTCATAAGGCACTCAAAAGTTATGGAGTTGTGTTTTTCGTATTGCAACAAGAAATTATTTAGCCTCAATGCTTTGAGTACTTCGTTACGTGAAACAGTTTTCAAAGTTTTATATCATCTGTCATCTTGAGATTCCTTGTAATGTTGTCAATGATCTGTTTTACGCTTAAAATCTTCGTACTTGTGTCGTTTTCAACTTCGTCATCTTGAGAATTCCCTGTGGCGTTGTCAATTCATTAAATGAGTACAATGCATTGAAATATATATATATATATAATTTATATAAAATATCTTGTTAAATTAATAACTTATTAATTTATTGATAAATTAATATCTCGCTTAATTAATAGAATGTATGTGATTCCAACATTATTAATTTATAGAGGTTATATTGTATTGTAATGAGTGTGCAAGTGTTTATTATTATTATTATTATTATTATTATTACTATTATTTTAACTTGGCAAGAAAACAGCCATACGGCATCTACAGGGCAAGAACATGGAACTATATCAAAACAAAGAAACACATTCAGTGTCAAAAACACAAAACTAGCTAAAACTAACACCTCCTAATGTCAAGATATCATCCTTAACAATAACCGACATCTAAAAGATGTCAGTGATATTGGGAGGGTTAGTACCCACAATCAGAGCACTAGACTTTCCAGAATAGTTAGATTTTGGACCCACTAAAGCACCTAAAGATCTCTTGTCAAATGACACCGCCTCACACAAAGTCCCAAAACACTCATGGCCATGGCCGTTAAAAGGCAGAAGAAAACTTCCAGAGTAAAATTCTATGACATCAGCCATGACGTCATGGCTTCCCCAACCGAAGAAGCAAGAGCCGACCCTGTCACCGAGCCACCAAGGAACCAACAATCATAAACCGGTAAACACAATGAGCACGCCGCCAGTAAATGGAGCTGAATCACTGACCATGCCATGAACTGCTTAAACTTAACCCCATGACTAGAAAACTCCAACATCAACATCCAATTTTGAATACCCAATAGAAATAGTTTACCCCAAATTTCTTCACCACGGCCCAACAAATCAAAGAGCTAATCATCCTATACGAGCCACAAAGCCATCATAACTTTTGACTTTTGATGTTCATTTTGACAGTTAATTATGGGACGGAGAATTCGAGGATAACCCAGATTCGCCAGCAACCGAGAAGTAAAAGAAATTGATTTCACCGACCAAGCCCAAAACGGTGAACCTTCACAACTGAGCAACCACGGCGACCTAGACTAGCAACCAAAATGCCACTGGAAGTCCGATGCTCTGCCAGACTATGATTTTCCTGGGGACTCATCCTCATACTAGAAGAGATGTCGTCAAGCACCACCATGTATTCAAGTGTTAAACCAGTGCAGAGATATAGACCATGTGCCGCCCAAAAGGCGACACATAGCCGATGCAACAGAAGATCAGAGATGGATGTTGACCAAAAAGAGAGGGGCGACTGGAGGGCAACCTTCACGGCCTCACCAACAACATACACTGACCTGTGAACAAAAAGATTACCGAAATTTGCAATACACCACAGTTCATCACCCATCCACAGACCAAAGGTATTGGCAACTATAATAGTCACGTCGCTCACAGCCAATCTACTCGCCATGGGAATCCAAACCCAGAAAGAGAAAGGAGGCAAACCAAGAAATTTGAAAGGCAAAACACACCAATATAAAATTAACACTAACATAAAAACATAAGAACTTATAGCGATACCCGGATCGAAATGAAACTTTTGCACTGATTGGTCATCAAGTCTTCCAAAATGTAAAACCCCCCCCGGCTTTACATCTCGTTGCGCACTTTTGCCGTTCCGGCAAGGAGAGAAAAGAATACCTAAGATCACCAGAGAGGAAACCATCAGGAGCAAAAGAACTATGACAGAAGCACAAATGAGTGTGTAAGTGTGGTGTGTGTGAATTTCTTGTCAATGACAAAATATATATACATATATACATATATATATATATATACATATACATACTGTATAGTAATTTTATAAAACTTTCTTAAGAAATGAAAGAAACGGCTTTTAAGCCCCTTCCAGGTTGGGCTGCTACATAGGTCTGGTTAAGGCCGTGACCTTCGGGCCTTTGTGTATGTTTGTATTACATTTGATCTTGGGCTTTTGGCCCGTCTTTTTTCTTTCTTTCTTTTATTATTACAGTATTATTTTTTATTTTATCGTTTTAAATTTTTCTTGTAAACGTAAAGTTCATATAAAGCTAAAGCCTTTTTAAAGTAACAGCTTATTTTTAAAAAAATATATAATTATTATTATTTAAAAAAAAAAATGCTATTACCAAAAGATTAGGGTTTCCATGAGCATCTTTTTTCTCCTCTATATAAAACCCATACGCCCAATCAACCATTCAGGTCGAGAAACTCAAGAGGCGCCTCTGCAAAAATGTAACGCGATCTGCTGCCACATCTTGTGAGATCTCGTTAAGCCTCTTAGATGTTATATTCTTTAGCATTCTGAGTCATATTTTTTTTTTTTGCTTTCTTATGGTTTCAATTATGTAGATTTGATTTATTTTCTTCAATAGTATAATTGTTACATAGGCAATGATGATGAAACATATACCATCAAACTATGAAAGCCATAAAGCTTGTTGATGTTCTAAATCATTACTCTCTGAGCCTTTATTATTATTATTATTTTTTCTGAACTTCTTTAAAGCACTTGTGAATTATTGAATTATTGCATTTGTTAGGTATATATACTTATATTTGTTATTATAGTGTTACACTGTTGGGAATTTCATAGTGGATATGTAGGATAGGGTTTAAAGGCAACAAATTAGAGTCTCTGATGCACTTACTTGATAGTGTTTTCAGCGCTGTACGTTGCCAATAACAAAATGAAACGGAGATTCTGGTGTTTGCTTCTTGATTCTCACCGGGCTTGCGCATTCAGATGTTTCTATATTTTATTATTTTATCTTTTTTTATATGAGTTAAGGTTTTTTTTTTTTTTTTTTTTTTTTTTTTTTTTAGAATGGATGAAAAATTGGAAGAGAGTTGAGTGGGAGGAATGGAAAATGTGTACCTTGGGATTGGAATTTGAATGAGCCTCTTATTCATATTTTTGGTTCAATAAAAAATGATAGGTAAGAGAATGGTTATTGAGTTGATTTGGGATTCTTGGGATTTGAATGAGCCGCTTACTCATATTTTTGATTCTTAAATCGTTTAGTGTCTTACTCAGCTTACCTAATCCTTACCTAATCCTTTTACTCAGCTTGCTTAATCCTTTTACTTAATAGGACAATGTAGACTGACATTTAAACCGAGAATACTAATGGACATTGGTTTTGATATCTTGGATGTATTGGATAGGATCAAAAATCAAAGTTTTGATCCTGTACAATGCATTCAAAATACTGAAATTATCTTGGCTAGCATTCTCGGTTAGATATGTATTGTAGTATAGATTTAATTTTTAATTTGAATGTGGCATGAGGATGATAGATATTATTTTTTTGGTAATAGTAATTGTTTCACAAGAGGCTTGTTTCTTGTTTGGTAAATGGTAAAATCTGATATCTCTTAATTATATATAAGAACTATGCTGTAGGTGTCTAGGCCCTTAAAGCCATTTTGCAGTATATATAAATGTGTGCATATATGTTTATTGGAAAGGTTAAACCTCTCACCTTTGTGGGGAGTATTAGAACATTCCCACACTTGCTAGACAAAAAATAATCTTTGGTATTTGTTGGACGAAATCAATAAATGGTGCTTTTATGTAATCTCCCTACTTTCCATTTCTTGTTATTGCTAATTCTCTTCCATCTGTTAACTCTTTCCAAATAGGTTATTGGTATATTTATCTATTCTTTCTGTACAACTTCACTTGATAAGTAGAAAATCACTGTGTGCCCATCTTGATAAGTAGAAATCATAATTGCACCTCTCTCTCTCTCTTCTTGGTTTAAATGTACATGTTAAATTGTATTGGAACTAAAAAATCATGGTGTTTTCATCTTGATAAGTAGAAACCATCCTTGCACCTCCCTCTTTCTCTACTTGATACTTGATAAATTGTATTGCAATAATTGCAAAACTTTGCTGGTTTGTTAATATGCAAGCAAGAGTGGCCTGTAAAGATTATTCCGAGTTCTTTAGAAACTCGTATCTGCTTTGTTTTGAACTCTATAATGTTTTTGACAGCATCCATAACAACTTTTATAACAACTTTTATGGAAACTGGTTCCTTTTGTGATTCTTGATGTCCTTTCCAATTAGAGTAGTTCTAGCAATAGCATGATTGTCGCTGCAAACACGTTATAACAGCTGTGAATAAAAAAAAATTGTGATTGGTTAATCACAGCAGTGAGTCCTCTTCCTGTTGGCCAGAAATGGCCGTTGATGTCCTTGTTAGTGAAGGGAGGTCTTTGCAAGTGTATTTTAATTAGTTTTATTTTCTCTTTCAGTTAGTAAGATTTCTTGATTTGCTTGCTTGATTTTATTTGGTTCACTTTTCTAAATTATGGTTGATCTTTTTATTTGTATATCTTTCAGTTGTATAGTTTAATATTTGTCCTAGAGCTGTTTTGTTTTAATTATTTTAGTTACCTACAATCAATTTCATTTTGGTTGTTTTAAACTAGTCAAACTGTAACTACAAAGTATTTTCTATATTTATAGTATTTTATATTTTAACTGGTTATTGGTAGTGTTTTGTTGTGTTGGGTTGTGTTTTGTTGTTTGAAACATTGTACTTTTGTAGTGAAACAAATCGTTAATGAGGGCTCGAAGCATTAGATTGACTGCATGTGTTCTTTTTCATTTGATTGTAAATGGTCAATGAAAATTAGTGTTTTATAGCTGCATATATTCTTTTTCATTTCATTTTACATGTGAAACGAAAAATATTGTTTTAGAGTTCATGTTTGAATTTGCATTTCAAGGGTTCCATTAGAAAATTGCTATTTTCTTTTCTAGTTCATTTGCTCGTTTTGTAAAACGTCCGGCCTTTTTCTAGCATTCCTCAATCATTTAGAACTGGATTCTAATGCTACTTGTGCAGTTTGCATTTTGACTTTCCTGATTTTGTGAAACTATTGAAAGTGGTAAAATATTATTTTACATGTACTGGATCACCATTGTTTAATGGAAATTCTTTAAAGCACTTTCTCGTGAAGTTCTTGTATTTGTTATACATATATATATATATATGTATATATATGTTGTTATATTATTACACTGCAGGAATTTTTTAGTAGATGCATATGATAAGATTTCTGCAGTGAAGGCAACAAATTAGAGTCTCTGATGCACTTACTCGATAGTGTTTTTAGCGCTGTACGTTGCCAATAACAAAATGAAATGGAGATTTTAGCATTTGCCTCCTGATTTCCATCTGGCTTGTGCATTTAGATGTTTCAACATTTCTTATTTTCATTTTCTTTTCTTTGAATCAACTTTGATATTTGTTTTAGTTACGATGATTAAATTTTTGTTATGCTATGTTTAGAATGGATCTTGAAAATTGAAAGAAAATTGAAGTGTTGAGGAATGAAAAAGGTGTACATTAGGGAAAGGAATGAGCTTTTTTACTCATTTATTTTTTGTCATCATCATTGTTTAATGGATTAACTAATGGAAGTTCTTTAAATCAATTTCTCGTGAAGTTCTTGCATTTGTTATATATATGTATATTTGTTGTTATATTGTTACAATGTAGAGGAAATTTTATATTAGATGCATATGATAAGATTTCTGTAGTGTTTAAGGCAACAAATTAGAGTCTCTGATGCACTTACTCAATAGTGTTTTTAGCGCTGTACGTTGCCAATAACAGAATGAAATACAGAATTTAGCATTTGCCCCTTGATTTTTATCTGGCTTGTGCATTCAGATGTTTCAACATTTTTTATTTTCATTATGCTCCGTTTAGAATGGATGTTGAAAATAGGAAGAAAATTTAAGTGCAGATGAATGAAAAACTTATACAAGGAATGATCTTTTTAGTCATTTATTTTTGGTTCAATAGGAAGGAAATAGGGAAGGGAAGGGCTACCAAGTGTAATTGGTATCACTGCACGTGGACAACCTCGTCATATCACAAAAAGATTATTGCCTAATTGTATTAGTTAATAGGATAGTGCTATTAAGAACGAAAATTCAAACTCACATTCTATTCCTTAGTTACATTGGATAAGATCAAAGTTTTGGTCTAATCCAATGTAATTTCCTCAATTAGCATTCTTGGTTAAATTGCTGGAGCTTCTAGTCATTGGAGCCTCTAGTTTCCTCAATTTGTGTGTTTTGGTTTTAAGGCTGTTTGGTTTCTTTGAATGTACTTTTAGAGAGAAGTGTGAATTAGGCAAGCATCACGGAAGAGGATTGCTATTGGAGTTATGTATATGTTCAATTGATTTCATTCCAAGGTCTATAAAGGTGGAAAGGCTAGTTTTTTCACCGACTTGTCCGTATTTTTAATAACATTTACGCATGCTCTAAATTCATGCAAAAAATCTGGGTAGTATAAGTCTCATCGGAGAAGTTTCAATAAAAATTTTATTGCAATTGAATCAACACAGCTCCGTATAAAAATTGGATCAAGTAAGAAAAATTTTCAATTTCCAACACCTAGCCTACAACTTCAAAAATAATTAATTTTAAATCCGAATTATATGTAAAAATTCAAAAATAATTAATTTTAAATCCGAATTATATGTAAAAATTCATAAATAATTAATTTTAAATCCGAATTACATGTAACCAAAATTAAATGGGAGCTAGTTGTTGGAAAGTGAAAACTTTTTTTGCTCCGGAAATGAATTTTTATACGAATTCTTCAATTGCTATGAAATTTTTACAGGAATTTTTTTCACGAGTCTTCTATTACTAGATTTTTTGTGCGAATTAATAGGCATAAATTTTATTAATAGTATCGTAATTATATGCCTACTCATTTATTAATATATATTGGACCATTGTAGGTTTAGAGAGGATTGATTTATGAAAATTTAACATGTAAACAAAACATCATATGGTGGACCTTAGATTGTTTTAGCCTCGACAAGGAGGAAGAACTTGAGCATGAGTAAGAGAAAAAATTGATAGAGGATGAAGGTTGTAATAGAAAGAATAGCCCTTGAATACTGGTTGTCTAAGATGGACGGTTGGACATAAAATCTGGACAAGGGAGTGGGGACATTTAACATATTTCTTTGGGCATAATAAAAAATTTATTATAATTTAATTGTTTTTAGATTATTGTTTTAATATAAGATAATTTCTTATTTTTAATATTATCTTAAATAAAAATGTTATTTAACTCCCAAATGTAAAAGTAAAATAATAAAATACATTTAATATTTATGCATATTCACAGCCATAAAAAAGTTGGCCTTGAAGTTTGTTGATTGTTTGGGCTTTAGTCTTCACTCTCTTCATCCAACAAGTGGTGAAGTCAACATAGGAGTTAGGTTAATTTCTGAATTGGATATTACAAAAGGTTAGGAAATGATTCTTGTAATGTACAGATTTAGTTAAAATGGATGGGGTGAATTTCTCTTGCAACACTCTCTCTTGGGGTTTACTATACTTTACAATCAACCCTGTACTAAAAAATATATCTTGTTTAAACTTTGCTAGGAGTTCAGGATGTTTATTTTGCTTGACATAATTTGCTCTCTCATAAGCATCGTTGCTGCATGAAAGATCTTACTCTTAATTTGGTTTAGTATAGACTCCAATACTCTTAGTGTGGTTTAGTATAGTGGATTCCAAAGGGGAGTGTTGCAAATGTGGTTCATTCTCATTAAATATATTTCAAAATTAAATTATGTGTGGTAGGGGGGCTTCCTTAGCATTCCTGCACAATCACAAGTGGTCATTAATTACATTTTTCCTATTTTTATGGGGCATTAAAAATATAATAAAATAATTTATTATGAACTTTTAACTCTTTCTCTCTTCTCATTAGATCGTGTGTATATATATTTATATAAACAACCACTTTCTTTTATTTTTCTTTTGAAATTGTCTTTTTTCTTTACACACACACACACACACACACACATATCAGTTATTGCTTTATATTGATAGCAAGTCTTCATGATCATCAGATGAAGCCATGCATATTAGAGTGCTTTACCGAATGTTCCTGCACAACCACTCTTTTAAGTGGTCATTAGAGTTATAATTGAACAATCATTAGTTACATGTTTCTTATTTTTATTAGACATTAAAAATATAATTTATTTGGACCTTTTAACTCTTTCTCTTCTCACTTGATTGTGTGTGTATATATGTATAAGCAATACTTTCGTGTCTTCCTTTTTTTGTCTTCTAAATTGATTCATGTGTGTGTATATATAATATACATGTATATAGTGTATGTGTATATATATAAACTCACTTTCCTTTTTTTTCCTTTTCAAGTTGTCTTTTTATTGTTTATATATATATATATATATATATATATATATATTTCACCTTGGTGATTTTCTTTTGCAGACATAGTATGGGATAAGACCATTCATATACATAATTTAAAATGCGTTATTATGCTATTCTGCTCATTTGTGTTGACAACACTTGACTATTTCACCATTCGCATCCATACTTGTAAAATTTGGTCCCTCCTTATACAATTTTGTTGCTATTTGAGTCTGTTCCTCTCTTTTGTTCCAATTCTTTTGTTATTACCCTCAAATTTGTGTTATGGTAAATGTTGAAAGATATAGTTGGTTTTCAATAAATTTCTTTCTTCTAATATACGTATAGAGCTATAAGGTTATCTATATATATGATATAATAAAAAAGAGATCAAGTGTTGTATAGAGAAAGAGTTAAAAGGGCAATTTTGTAATAAAATTTATATTTTTAATTTTCCATAAAAAACATGTAATTTAAGGCCTTGCTTGGATTTCTGTTTTGGGAGTTACAAAAAACTGAAAACAATAAATTTTAGCCTACTTGGAACTGTTTTTTGAAAGTAGTTTTATGGAAACTCAGTCACATGACTCACATGAGTTACACTTTTTAGAGAAAAACTTTTAGTTGTTTTCACAATTTTTTGGGAACCCAGAGCGTTAAATAGTAAACACGGAGAACTCCCTTTCACTTTAAAAAACATGGACTGCCTCTATTAACCAAGATCGGTTGCAGCAGAGGCAGTCCGTGTTTTTTTTAAGTGAAGTGGGAGGAATGAAAAAGGTGTAGCTTGGAAAGGAATGAGTTTTTTTTTACTCATTTATTGTTTGTCCAATAGGGAAGGGTTATTGAGTGGAATTGGGATCATGTTATACAATAGTTGACAGCCCCAATCCTTTCACAAAAAGAATTGAAGTCTTAGTTATTGCCTAGTTTTTTTCTCTTAATAGGATAATGCTATTTAGAACAGAATTAGACTGAGAATGTAAGTGGAGGGATTTATATGTCTTAGTTGTATTGGATAAAGTCAAATTCTTGGTTAGACTTTCAATTTTGAAAATCAAAATCTATCTCAATAGTAGTTGATTATTTAAAATGTTGCTGGAATTCTAGTTAATTTCGGTTAATAATTGTGAGTTAGGTTGCAATTGACACCTGGATTTTAAAACCCAAAAAGAGGGTTCTTATTTGTTCTTCTTCACAGGTTAAACCTCTGGTTTCCTCGATGATGTATAGACCTTGTGGTTATTTTTGTAAATATGTTACTTTGATACACGTAAATTGGGAGAATCTTGAAAGCTATTGACCAACCACTGGACCTTAATGAAATCCTCCAAATCTATATTATATATTTTGGCGTAATGTATAGTTTTGTTGGCAGGGGTGTTTTAAACATGTTACTTTTATTTTCTTTTTTTTTTTTACCTTTGACCTTTGTGGTTCACTTTTCTTCTCATGATTTGATTAGAGAGAAACCAACTAATTTGTGGATCTCATTATTTGATTTGAAGTGTAATTTCATTTTCAACTTGAATGTTGCATAATGGTGATGGATATCTTTATTGGTTGTGTATAGTAATTGTCTTAAAAGAACTTGTTGCTTGTTTGATAGTTGGTAAAATCTGATTTCTCTTAATTTTATTTATAATGTGTATATGTGCATGGGAATAGTTAAACTTCTTACTTTTTTGTAGTTTCTTATTTTCTTCCATCTATTTGGACTCTCACCAATTTGGAAATTGGTATATTTGTCTCTTATTATTGTAAAACTTCATTGGACAGGTAGGAAATCATATTTTCCATCTCGGTTGAGTAAAAGGCATCCTTTTACTTCCATTTCTCTGTCTCTGTGGTTGGTTTAAACATGCTCCTTTAATTGTAAAGGAACTACTGCAAAACCTTGTTGGTTTTGTCAAATATGGTTTGAGCATTTGAGGTTTGAGGTCACAGGGTGGTTGAGCGTGCTTGGCAAAAGCTGATACCGAGTTCATTAAAAGTTTGTGTCCTCTTTGTTTTGAAGTATTAGGGCTTTTGATGGCATCCATAGCCAGCCAGCTTTTAAGTGATTTGGTTCCTTGTGATTCTTTGATAGCTGAGCTTCTAGTCTGCTCAATTTGTATTGGTTCTTGTCCATTTTATGAGAATGTGTTTTAGAGAGAAGGTGCAAGGTTGTATCTGTGTCTATGTCTGTTTGTGTTGGGGAAGAAGTTGCAATTTTGACAAGAGGAGGGCTGCTTGATTTTTCAACCTTTCACAACAGCGAGTTTGCAATCGACACTCCGTGTTTTGACAAATAATGCTAGAAAAAAGGGTTGCTATAGGAGTTGAATTAATGTTCAATTTGTTTTTTATCGTAAGTTTCTGAATTTGGGTCCAACATAGTGTGGAGGTGATGTATCATAATTACACACGTATTCTAATATTAATATATATCGGACCACTGTTGGGAATCGCAAGTTTAGAGTTAGGATTTGGGATTTTCTAAATTGCTTGCTTGATTTTAATCCCGTATTATTTTTGCCTGCGTGGATATATTTTTCTAAATTATGTAAGAATTTATTAATAGTTGTAGATCCTTAAGGTGTATAGTTGAATATTTGTCCTGGAATTGTTTTGTGGAAATCCTTTTTTTGTTGATTCCACACTGATATTGTAATTACATATTGTTTTCTATAATTTTGTAGTGCAACTGTATTTACAGATTATTTTCTATAATTTTATAGTATTTTTGTATTAAAATACAGAGCCTTTATTCAGTACAATATTTAAGAAGTATATTGACACAAGATATTTTTTTTCAATGAAAATTCTCTGTGAGAAGTAAGAAAAACGATAAGTTTTCATTGGGAGAAGTACTTATATCAGTGTCAAACCCTAGGTATTGTATAACCTTCTCATTAGTGAGAAAGGCTCTTTTTGATAAAACTAAAAATTTAGTAAAAATTTCAAGACTTGGATTTTAAGTATTGAAGTTTATAAGAGGTAATTAAAAAATAATATATATATATTTTTTGATATTTTTTAAAAATTTTAGTGTTCAGACTTAGTCAAGCTAAGTGATGTTTTTGTCACTTAAAATTTTATTAGCGTGTTTTTAGTAAAATTTTAAGTGATGGGACATTGTTTATAACTGAATGCTAAATGTTAAAATTTTACTCTAATTTTAATTTTAAGTGATGGGGATGTTAAAAGTGTCTAAATAAAATGTTAAAATTTTACTCTATTTTAAGTAGTGTCAAAATAATTAAGTGGTGTCAAAATAATTAAGTGCTGGATTTATCAACAACGCCTCGATCAATATTTTTTAATCTCTTCAAACTTTACTAGGGCCGAGATGGATACTTTGAGGAGGTCAAACCATTTTCTAAACCATCAAATAATGGTAATTTTTTACTATGCCAAATAATAATAGGAAAATGATTTATTTATATAAAAGTAATAATAATATGAAAATAATTGGATCCTGAAAGGAACACGTCACATCATTCGGTGGGTCAACATATGTGATTCTCCAGCCTTATTTGTTTTTAATCAGATTTTAGAGAGGGATTTTGATAAATAAAAATGAAAAAAAATTAAAGTAGTGGTCGGGAAGGTTATAGTAGCTAAAGCCAATTTTTATTTTATACATTGGAAAAATCCGTTTTGTTATTAATAGGCTAGGAAGGGGGAAAAGAATAACGGAAAGAAAGGAAATCAATTAGTTATTCGTCAAAGTTTTAATTATTCAATGACCGGAATTAAGCGAGGATATATAGCTCGGAGACGTAGAACAAAAATTCGTTTATTTGTATAAGCTTTCAGGGGGCTCATTCAAGACTTACCCAACTATTACTCAACAGAAAATAAAAGCTTTGGTTTCGGCTAAGAGAAAGACTTCTATATAAGGAAGTCAAAGAGTGAAGAAGCTACCTATTAAGAGATTGACCGAGGGATGGGTTTCTCTGCTTTTGGCATAGCGGCCCTCAGTGGGAGGCTCGCACGACGGGTTAGTGCGCTACGTTGTGCCTGAAGGAAAGTGCATGAAAAAAATGTATTTTCTATTCAAAATGAGAATAAAATTATAGTAAGTATAATTATGTTTTATTTTTGGAATTGATTCTATCATTAACATTTAATTAAAAAGTAATAACCAATAAAATATATATATATATATCTTCAGAAATGATGGAGAAATTCACCAATCCAGGGAAAAATCTTGAAGACTTTTCATTCAATTTCAAGAGAAATGATATACTATCTTCAGGCAAAGTACAATTGGCTCTGATGAGGCTTACATTCACCCCACTCTACCAAGATTCAATTGTTGAACGTCTTTGACTTTCTGATGCCTATCTTAACTTTAGACTTAAGGCATGTTTGATTTTCTAATTGAGTGCTGAATGCAGAATATAGTACTGAAGATACAAGAAAAATCCTCTCTCAATTTGGACATAATAGTTTTACACTTCAAGAAAAATTTTCATCCCTTTTCCCTCTCTTTTCCGTTTATTTATAGACTATTACAAACATTTTAGAAGCATCCTAACTAACTCATCACACTGGGCTGATCCTTTGGGCTCATTACGGATATGGGCCCATTTCCTTTGCTCAGAGATCGGGCTTTCAGATTGATCTTGCGGTCTTGGGCCCAATAAGTGATGGTTCGATTAAACAAAATGTTCTTTCTAGACCCGTTTCCAGTAATTTGGGTTGTGCTCGATTCAGGTTATTTTTGGTATCTTCATCTACCCTCATAATCTCTCCCTAATTAATTAGGGTGAGATTATCAAAGGGACTTAATCATGATGAGACTGCTCGAAGTAATGATGTGGGGAAGTGAACGATTGATTTAGGGACCCATGCTTTGAGATTTGAAGCACCATCATTGCCTTAGTTCTTTGGGTAGTGAGCCTTTTTCTCTTTAAAACCTCAAACCTCAAGTTCTTGTCCTTACTCTGCCTTTGCCATCTTCGCCTTCAAGTATCGTCTCTCTTAATCGTCTCTGCCAATTGCCAGTCATCTCCGGTGAGCTTTCTTTGTCTTCTCCGGTGAGTTTCCCCTTTGTGATTCTTCAACTTTCGCTTTGCTACGGTGTATTCTGCAAACCCCCTTTCTAAGGTTAGTTCTAACCCTTTACTATTTTTTTGATATTTTGATTTTTACGACTTTTTTTTTTTTTTTTTCAAAATAGAGAAACCCTAAAACTGGGAATTTCCTCCACCATTACAATGGCTTCGGACTTAGGGGTTCTTCGTTTGAAGAACGAAATCCTTAACGATGTTTCTATTAGGGTCTATTCCGAGGGCCTGGATGAGAGATCCGGTGAGGATCTTCTTCCCAGAGAGATCCTCTTTTCTGTTCTCCATCTAAACGTAATTAGATTCCCCTTGCACCCGTACTTCTGTTATGCCTTCAACAAGTTGGGGCTCTGCCCTCTTCAAGTTAACCCCAATTTCCTTAGGGTGATATCAATTCTCTTAATCTTAAAACCACGACAGATATCTCGATCTTGACATCATATATCTTCTTTGCTATCGAATCACTAAAATCAGAACGAATGACATGTACTTTCACTTATTTCCCATTGAAAAATGATTTATTTGTACGGACAAACTCTCATCTAAAAAGGGTTGGAGGAAAATTTTAATTGGGGTCAGTTGAAATTGGCAAACTCCCTTCGCTTAGATTTTTCCTATCCCGACCACTTTCGGAGAGCTCTGTCCCTTTATATAAGAAGAACAAGAAACATCCGACTGACTGCCCTTATGAAATTTGCCTTCCTCGCTTCTTCACTTTTCTTTATAATTGCCTTCGTGTTCCTCATGACAAGTTGGATTATAGCATTTGCAGGGCTAGAATTGATTTTCTGGAAGAGAAAGTTCTGAACGATATCCCCTTGGCCACAGACCTGCCCACGCCGGACAACCTTTCTGACATATCCATTCTTGGTGCCACCATGGAACACATCCAGATCCCTTCGTTCAGCAGAAGAAGAAGATCCTCCTCTGCAGCTGCTCCTGCGGTTACCTCGGCCGCCTATGTTGCCATTCCAGCCGTCCTAGTTACGGTTCAGAACGCTGAGCATCTTACCATTGAACCCTCTGCATCCACTTCAGCTGAAGTTTAGCCCATCGTGCCGAACGACGAACCTTCTGACACTCCAAACAAAACTTCTTCACCTATTGCTCAGAACGCTGAGGGATCTTCCCCTGTCTAAACTAATGTCTCGGAGAAGAGTCTGGGTAAAAGACCCCAGCTTGAGGGTGGCTCCAACCAAAATGACCTTCCTCCAGCCAGAAGGGCCCGGACTTACAGGGTCATCACCACTCTCCCTTCTCCCCAGGTAACCATTCTAGAGGGTGAATCAGCCAGGACTTCTGTCTCTTCCCCACCAGTGGTCCCATGGCGCCCCTTGCTTAGACGGGAGGATGGGTCAGTTGTGGCCTCTACTGAAACTGTTTTTAAGGATCCTGCCACCTCCTTTGCCTTTTATAGGGGCATTTAGACCCTTCAGGATCTACAGACCCAGGAAAAGATGACTTGCAATGAAATATTTCATTGCTTTCCCGCAGCCGCTGTTGAGGTAGTTTTCTTTTCTCTTATACCAACTTTCATCCACTTTTTTTTTTAGATCACTTCGCTTTTGTACTTACCAGAACACTTATGTCTTTGTGCAGACTCTGTTTGAGATGATCACCTTTCAGAGAAATATGGAAATGGCAAATAAGAGGATTAAAGCCTTCTCTCTCGGCCTCAACAGATCTATCCAAGCAAAAAGGACAACCGAAGCCAAAAGTTCGGAGCTGTTGGTCAGACTGAATGATTTGAAGAAGGAGATAAATGCTCTAAAGGTTGAGAGGGATGCTCTGAAGAATGAGCGAGACTCTCTTCACGATGAGCTTGACATCTTGAAGATAGAGAAAAACGTTATGCAAGCCGAGAGAGATGTTCTGAAGGTTGAGAAGGGGGACCTTCAATGCACTCTAATTGCTGAACGGTTGACCTAATCCGTTTCAGAAGAAAAATTCTCGAACGAACGCTCCGTTTTGTTTAACGTCGTAAGCAGAGTCGATGGTGGCATGAAGGCTCTTCACGCCCGTTTTTCTCGGATCGGGGTTCTTAGGTATGCCGAGGGATACAGAAACGGTTTTATTGACCGTTCTCCTCCCGAGGGCTAATTAAGCTCTTGTGCAGGTCCGGATGACTAGATGCCTCCCTGGATATTGACCCGCTAAACGTTTACAAGGATCCACTCCCTGCTCCTACTGAAAACATATTTATTGAGTGCAATGAGATTGTAGCTTCAGGGGTCATCCCACCCGTTCGTCCTCTGAATGTTCCTTCCATCACCACCATTGTTCCTCCCACAGGTGTTGCCACTGACAGAACTCTACCAACTGAGGAGATCATCCATTTTGACACTCCCTCCAGAGGTGATGAAGTAGCCAATGATGGAGAGGGAGACAGTGAACCG